TTATCTGTAAGGACATGCATGTTGGGCAGAGGAAGCTTTTCTTGAAAGATACAATACAAAACCGTTATCCGATCACTCACAGGGATGAATCCCACAATAAACATCTCTAGGGCTTCCCTGAGCTTCTTGGTAATTCCACATTTCTGATACTTTAAACACTAAAATCAGAAGAATTATAAATAGGCAATCCCCCAAAGAGCAGGATCTCGAGTTTTTTTCTGTCCTGTTCTAGATGATATCGCACAGTAAAAAAAAAAACAACAAAGGGGTGCGGAGGGAATGAACGTAACCAAAAATTAAAAACCAAAGTGATTTGCTGGTCACCATTAAAGTGCATTCAGTTCCACCTCAGCTCTTTAACCCTGTGCTTATGCTATTTTCCCCCTCCCTCCCGAGGCTGAGCCCCATTGTGCTGGCTGGGGGAGCAGAAGATCTTGCAGGCAGCAGGCAAGCGACCGTTTGCTCTCAAGTGTTAGTTCACAGCATGAAGGATGTTGAGAGCCCTGAGTTAGCTCCATGCCACGTTAGACAGTTGATTTCGTAACCTTTGCTGTCATTCAGAGAAGGAATTTGTTCTTATCACAGTGCTAAGACTTCCCATGGGGGCATCAGGACATTTGGACATGAGGAAAAATGTCTTTACTGAAAGAGTGGTTAAACATTGGAACAGGCTGCCCAGGGGAGTGGTTGAGTCCCCATCCCTGGAGGTATTTAAAAGACGTGTAGATCATAGAATCACAGAATCATTAAGGTTGGAAAAGACCTCTAAGATCATCGAGTCCAACTGTCGACCCAACACCACCATGCCCACTAAACCATGTCCCTCAGCGCCTCATCTACACGTCTTCCCTGGGGCACTTAGGCACATGGTTTAGTGGGCATGGTGGTGTTGGGTCGACAGTTGGACTCGATGATCTTAGAGGTCTTTTCCAACCTTAACGATTCTGTGATTCTATGATCAGGGAGCTCCATTCCCTTAGCACTGCGTACCCTGTAGGTTACTGCCTTCAGACACAACACGTAACGTCTCATCTGGAAGGCAGACGACAATTTTGGCTCTGCTCATACAAATGTCACCCTGAAGGTTTAAATCACCGAAGGACAAAGCTGCAGTCGCACCTGCTGAAGCCAAAGGATTCGAGCACAACACTCAGCAGCACATGGCTCAGGGCTGGCTCCCGCTGCCAACCTCTGGAGAGGCTCCAGCATCGAGAGAGAAACTCAGAGGGGGAAAAATAAAAATAAAAATCTCAAAACCCAAGGCAGAGCCCAGCCCTCCTACTGCCTTTCACGTGTGGGAATACATCACAGCGACCTGCTGCACCACTACGCAAAGGACATGCCCTCGCCGTACTTCAGGCACCACCGGGCAGCAGCTCTGCCACTTATTGCACATAAAACCAACAGAGTGGCCACAGCGGCTCAGAGCAAGTGGAGAAATATTCTTTGGGACCAGCCCTCTGGAGGGAAGCATCCTTGGACGTGCAGAGAGACCTGCTTCCTGCTTGGGCTTGAAAATTAGACATGGTGATACCCTAGAGGAACACTACAGTAAGAGCTGGCTCACCTTCAGCGAGGGAAGGAGCATGGGCAAAGTCAACCCTGATCTGGCAGCAGTTTGTCCTCAGTGCTGGTGTTGAGCCAAAGCCTGCTGAAGTTCGTGGAAAGTCAGTAACCGGTTGCAGTGCCTCTAATTAGTCCTGAGCTTGCTGGGGACTTAATTTGCCTCCAGCTAGAGCGCGCGGGTCTCTCGAGCCTTGTCCCTTGTCCCTGGCATTAGGCAGCTGTCACTTGAGTTATTAACACAGAGGTGGGTCCAGCGCTCCCACTGCAGAGACACAGACATCCGTATCCGAGGGTATCACCTCTAAATCCCTTTGCAGTCAGCGGAGACAGGTGCTCCCGAGGCGTACTGTATCATCCCAGCAGAGGCATCTAAAACAGGACAGATGAATCATGCTCCAGAAGTATCTATTTCTCTTCACTGACTGCAAAGGGAGCCTGGCTAGATCATACGGAGATGCCTTTAGGCTAGAGACAGGTAAAATTAGGCAAGATTAATCCCGCTCAAAGAGCGAGCGCTACAGCCTCGAACATAGTGACAGTCTAACAGATCACCCCAGGAGAGGTTACAGCTTCAAGCCAGTGCTACACGTTGCCTGAGCGTGTCTTTGCCCACGGAGAAGAGGAAGTGCTGCCTCATAAATACTATTTACACCAGTTTGCTTAAATTAAAATTAGTTTCTTGGGGGGAGGTAGAAGAGAAAGAGACAGATACTTCATACTGCGGGAGCTAAAGATATCGTCCTTCCCGGCCACCTTCGCCCCTGTCAGTTGTAGGACAGGTACTGGATTAATCGCGGAGGAATATTTAGCTTGGCAATCTTCTCCAGTGCTCGCTGCCCGGCGGCTTTCCTCACCGTAACTCTGCAAAGCTGTGACAAACTCAGCGGCGTTTCTAAAATGAGAGAAGAGGATCCAAAGTCAGGGCTGCAGCTCAGCAGATGGCTGATCTTCCCTCAGAGCACAGACCTCCCAGGAGGGTGACGCCTGGCATCGCCCCCACCGTGATCGCAAGCCTGGCTCTGCTTACAAGCGCTCGACCTCCCACAGCACCCAGGCCCAAGGAAGGCACCGCGGAGCCCCGGGCGTGCTCTCTCAAGGCTCATCCTGATCCAGATCCCACCAGAAACAGTGAGCACAGCTGCGGCGCGCTTCTCCCAGCTCCCTTCCTCGCCTGCATCCCCCAAAAGGAAAAAAATAAAGATGACATAAATAGGAACTTGCAATTTTATTCTCAGTTGCTCGAGGAGTCTTTTGTTTTTCCATTGGAAACTTGGACTTTACCATTTCATTATTTTACCAGCTTAGGCAATGTTAAAAAAGCAACCTAACGAGGGATTTGAATTTGAACGAAGAGGGAAGGTTTTCACCCCGGATTACCGATAGGTGCACTTTCCTAATATGTATTTCTCTGTAAGGACATGCATGTTGGGCAGAGGAAGCTTTTCTTGAAAGATACGATACAAAACCGTTATCCGATCAATCACAGGGATAAACCCCACAATAAACATCTCTAGGGCTTCCCTGAGCTTCTTGGTAATTCCACATTTCTGATACTTTAAACACTAAAATCAGAAGAATTATAAATAGGCAATCCCCCAAAGAGCAGGATCTCGAGTTTTTTTCTGTCCTGTTCTAGATGATACCGCACAGTAAAAAAAAAAAAACAACAAAGAGGTGCGGGGGGAATGAACGTAACCAAAAATTACTCGCCTGCATCCCCCAAAGGCCAGCGGTGCCCACTGGATCACCTGCTCTGATCCACTGGGGCTATCCAAGACTTTCAGATTTCCCTTAGTGATGCTGTATTAAACCTCAGCAGCACTGTATATAGGAACAAAACCTACTTCCAACACTTCTCTACCGCTCCATTTCTCCATCTAAGGATTGCGTTAGCCCTTTTCACTCAGCACTCTGCTGAGAGCTCCAATAAAATTCCCCAAACCCCTTCCAGACAGCCCCCAATCTGCAGCCCGCAGCCTCGACGCCGGGTGTTGATGCTCGTGCACGGACGCAGAGTTACAGTATCGGGCGCATTGCTCTGGAAGCAGTCAGTCCTAAGAAGCTGCTATCCCTACCCCCACAGCCTCTGCAATCACCAGCCTCCAAGATCTGTATCTGTCCTGGATCTAGTCCCGAATTTAATGATACAAATCAAAAGGAAAAAAAATACTATTACAGCTAGCACAGCACTGTTACAACAGTCTGCGTTGAAAAGCAACTACACGTGCAGTTCTGACAGCTGGGTTTAGTGGGCAGTAAACTCTGACGAGATATAAGGACTATTTATGGGCATGTAGGATTCAATCTCTTCAGCCAGCTCAGCTGCAGCCAGACCAGCACACTTTACTGCTTTCTAAGAAAAGAGAGCGATGAATAACTTGGAGGAGAGACTGCTACAGGGAGAAGAGAAGTCAGAGGGAGAAGGGGCTGTAAGGTGCTCACTACACAAAGGAGTGCAAAGCCAGAAAACACTTTGTTCTTCTCTAAGGAAGAAATTTTTTATAAATAAATTTAAGGAGCAATTCTTTTATGATGAGGGTGGTGAGACAGTGGAACAGGTTGCCCAGAAAAGTTGTGGATGCCCCATCATTGGAAGTGTTCAAGGTCAGATTGGATGGGGCTTTGAGCAACCTGATCTAGTGGAAGATGTCCCTGCCCACGGCAGGGGGGGTGGACTAGATGGTCTTTAAAGGTCCCTTCCAACCTAAACCATTCTATGATTCTATGATCTTTAGGATCATCTAGTGCAGCAGCAGTCTGCAAACGCTTGGAAAGGTCTGTGAATTACTCCTCTAAGGGTAACCAAGATAAAGATTGACTTAAAGCCATCCTCAAACCTCAGTTAAATGTCTCCTCCAAAATCAGACAGCCAGTGCAGCTAAAGTTTAATGCGTTCTCTGCCCCAAATAAAATGAGTTTTCAACTGGGAAATTTCCTTGACCTGACTTAATGCACCAAAGCATAAACGCTGATGCTGACACGTGAGAGGGACCTGAATTCAAGTGAGGGCATGATTTGAACAATCTTACCACTGTCATTCAACTACAATTAAGCAAAGCTAGCCCGCAGCCAGCTGGCATACGTTTCCCACCAAGAACTCTATACCTTCACAGGAAGATGATCAGGGATCTACAAATCAAAGTGGGCTGAAAATCTTGATGTGGAGCAACGGAGTTGGCAGTCACTGAATTCCTGGGGCAGGGGATCAAATCTCACTTACTTTCGTAGTACTCAAAGCACTTTGCTGTGGGACTGCTGCTCCAGGTGTAATCCGATGGCTTCTTTCCTCGGTTGTCCCTTGCGTAAATGTTTCCTCCAAATTCAATCAGCATCTCCACCAGATCTACGTTTTTCACTTTTGCTGCATGGTGGAGGGCTGTCTCGTGAAGTTTAGCAGCATTCACATTTGCCCCTGCGGCCAGAAAGAAAAACAAACCTGTTCATGAAAGCCTCAATTGAACCAAACGTAAGGAGTGGTTTGACTGGAAAAAAACCCGCTGTTAAAATACGCACGAGCAGCTAGAACAAGATCCAAACAAAACAGCATGAACAGGAAACCAAACTGCTGAACAAGTTCTCGGTGCTGGCAACACATGAGTTTTCTTCTCTGGCTTTATGTTTTCCTTGCAGAGAAAGGATTTTGGTCGATGTTCCTGGGTAAATAAGCTGCTGAGTGTGAAGTTCAGAATTGCTTCCTGAATCTGCGCTGTCCAAAGCCAGCAAAGAGCCATTCCCAGTCATCTCAATGGAGTGCTCCCACTCAAGGCAAACAGTGACATCTTTGTTAACAGAAATACCCCAGACCCACAAGATGTGGCAGCTCACCATCAGACACTACTGCGGGACCAAGTTTTAGTTACAGATATTTTTGCTAAGGAAGTTTGGCTTTTATAAGCTGACAGCAAAAGGTCCTTCCAATCCCCCCATAACTGCTTGCATTTTATCAACTGACTTGTTCAGCAGAGGTGAGATGAACCTCACTGAATTCAAACAATTGACTTTTAGATACGTGTAGCCACACCGAACTGCCCTTATAATTAACAGGGAGAAGCAGGCATTTCTGGGGAATCAATTAATGGGAGCCCAAGAGAGGGAACCGGAGCGGCTGGACACAAATTAGCTTAGATGCGTAATTTTTAGACAACTAACGTTCAATGAAACAAATCCCCACCCCTGGGCCAAATCTCCTCCTGGTAAGCACAGGCAAAGACAAGAAGTCCAACTCCAAATCCCCCAAAGTTAGCAGCAAGAAAACTGGGATGTGAAACCTGGAGCACAGAACATTGACTTGAACATCTAGCAAACTCATCTGGCACAACCCTAACCAGCTCTCCCTGAGGTACAAAGTGACCTCATCTCTGGTTTTCTGTACAACATCAAACCCTAACATCTCTCCCTAACACCTATCCAAAACCATATGACTGTGCTGAACGCACGCCCACCAGTTAAGACCACTTTTGGGAAGAAGTTGAAACTTTGCTCTAGGGGGCTGAAGAGTTCTAAATTTCATTAAAATAAGAGAATGAGAATGTCAGCGGGAACATCACAAACTGGTTATTGACAGGCATACGCTGAAAAAATGCTGAAGCATTAAGCTCTGCTCAGGTAAAGGCAAAATCTTTCACCTTTGTCATCTATATTATGCTGTGAATGAATAAGCTCTTCAACAAGAATGCCGCTGCGGAACACCGAGGGAAATGCTGCGCACAGACACCACCGTCTCCTGCCCACCCAGAAGCAAAGCCTGTGGCTGCCATACCTGCCTTGAGCAGCAACTTTGCACAGTCCAGATGCTCCCTGGCACAGGCCACGTGTAGGGGCGTCCCGAAATGGCAGTCGTGAGCCTCCAAGTTTGCACCGACGTCAATGAGGAGTTGCACACACTCTGAGCTACCTTTAGAAAGGGAGGATCCGAGTCAAAAGAAAGAATCCAGCTCAAATGGGAGCATATGGCATGCTGAGATCAGCTTGACCCACAAACAGCCTGCTTAATATTTGGAGTGACGGCTGCAAAACAGAAATGCTTGTGAGCCAACACAATAGACTGTAGGATCGAGACTGAGACCAGGGCACAAGAAATAGAGTCACATCTGCACCGCACTGAGCTAGAGCTAACAGGTCTCACAGGGAGTCAGGTCAAACAAACCTGAATTCAAGGGTTTGCACTAAATCACCTGTTGTTCGTGGAGCTGGTTGTATTGCTGATCCTGCCCTGGGTGGATTAGATCACCTTCAAGACCACTCCAGGTTTACTTTTTCCAATGCTAATAACACGATTTAACAGAAAGCAGGCAGTCATCATGAACAAACCTTAGGAAAAAGGCTTCACAAGGAAAAGCTAAGCAAGAGCTCACGGCTATGTATTTAAGTAACTACCTGTTTGTCAAAAATGCTGTCTCTCACAGCCTTCAAAGTCGAAGGGAAACTCTGTCCAGGACAGCATATAATAAAAACAGCAAAGGGGAGGAGAGAGGAGGTATTACGTCTTACAAAGAGGAAACTGTAGCACAAAATGATTAAGAGATTGGTCATGATCATCTAACGGGGACATTGCCTCTCTCACATCCTGGCTTTCCTGCTGTTGCGTTCGTGCAAGTGTAAGTTCAGGGCTGGAATTACACTCAAATACGCCTCTGTCACTATCACGGACACCCCTGATACTTGCTCTTGCTCCGTAAGCCAGATCCAAACGTCCAGGAGAGGCTTGAGTAGAGGACAGGGGGAGCAGAGAGCGGCTGGCACGTGCCAGCTGGAACATTATTTTGGCCCCTGTAGTTTTCTCTTATCCCCTGGACAGACCCTCCAGCTGGAAAAGGCTGAGAGCGGGACAAGGAGCAGTACAGGCAGTTAACGCTGCCCAACAGTCCCTGGCACTTTCTTCCCACTTGACAGCTTCATCAATCAGCTCTGAACAACCAGGAGAGGTCTGGGACAGGACCACCTGATTAAGACAGTCTCGTGTGTTAATCAGAACAATTTATCCCACCTCAACTCGGATCAGAGGGAAAGGATGCAAACTCCCCTCTACTCACAAGAGCAAAGCTACTGGTTTGGCTCAAGGTTTTCTAACAGAGCATCAAGAAGCTGGCGCTTTATCTGCCCAACATCTTATCCCATGTCCATCACGTGGGATAAAAGCACCCAACACAAGTGATGGCTTTATTCATCTGATACCACACTGCTTTGCATTCTGCGTTCAAAGGGAGCTGTGCTCGCGTAAGGCTGATATATTTGCAAGCTGTAATGGTCTGATGAGCAACAACAGCTTACGGTCAAATTAAGATACTTGGCAGCTGCTTTGGTTGGGTTTTTTTCCAAGCTGCAAATAACCGTGCAAAGATAAGACCACGTGGGTTTACCATTCATGCAGGCTTCGTGGAGAGGAGATGCTGTGTAAAGGGGAGGGTTCACCTTGGCGCCGTGGGACAGCAGCACTTTCACACACTCTATGCTACCCGAGGCACAGGCGTCGCAGAGCGGAGTGCTGCCATCGATATTCCTGGCATCCACCTTCAAGGTAGAAAAAAAATGTTAGGTGCCCCTAGGCTGCTGTGTGGCAGTACCCTCTTGCCTGTGTTTTCACCTCTTTTAACTCCAGAAATAGGCACTTCTTTTAACTCTAGAAATAGTCTGGACTCAGGAAGGAGTTGGTTGCTACTGCCAGCAACCTGGCTTGCGCCGTTCCCATCACTCTCAGGGCACAGATGTACATTAATGTCACAAGTTTAGGCTGTAATTTCCAACGCTATATTTTTCTGCTGCTTTCCTGCTGAAGGTTATAAGCGTCGCGGTTGAGTAACACAACGCAATTCCTCGTCTGCTTTAGTGCAAAGCCCAGCTTCATCAGCGGACTCGGCCAAGCTGGCTGACGTTGCACTGAGAAGGACCACGGAGCGCACACGTGCTCCACTTCACCGGCTTTGCTCTGAGGACAGCTGTCTTCAGCGTGTGAGGAGTCACAAGCCCTTGAAGACAGTCGTCACCAGCTATATCCAAAGATTCTGTTTAACTGATTTTTGTTTCCATAATAAAATTAAAGAAATAGAAGAAGAAACAAAAGAATAAATGTAAATCCCCTCTGGAAGCTATATGTCCCCTGGTCCCCCTCTGGCCCCTTGATTCAACCTAGCTAGTTTTAGATACTTGAGCCTTCTAAATTAGATTTCTGGTCACCCTGGGCGCTGTTGGTAGCCAGTGAGGAGAGAGGGGGAGAGACAGAAATACTTCCAGGCAGTTTTTTAAGTCCTCATCAAGCTCAAACACGCTCTGAGGAGGCCTGCCATCCTCTGCTGACTGTCAAGAAAGCCCAGGGTGATGAAGAAGAGCCTAGAGCTAGATGGGGAGAATCCAGACCCCAGACACTAAGATGATGTTCCCAGCCGGATCAGACCCGAATGCAGACCTGGGCCCCTGCAGCCAGCAGGAGCTTGACACACTGCGTTTGCCCTCGCAGGCTCGCCTCGTGCAACGGGGTGATAGAGTCATAGGTGACCGCATTGACACAGGCTCCGCTCTCTATCAGCTGCTGCAGCTGCAGGATTTCTCCCCGCCTGGCTGCTTCATGCACTGGTGTTCGATCGGCCCAGAAGCCTAGAAAGGAAAGAATAAATAAGTAAATAAATAAACAAAACCATACGTGCAGAGCAAATGGGTCTCTGTGCCGGAGAAAAGCAGATGGGGAACACGGTCCAGCAGCTAGAAGAGAGAGCTGGGAATGAGGAGCTCATTCCGCACCATGCCCCCACTCAGCATGTGATTTTAAATTGGGTGCTTCATGTTTGTGGCTTCCCCGTTGACCGCTGCCCTCTCAGGGACTGTTTGTAATGCTGGGTTCCTTTACAGTTTCTGAAATGCTTTGCTGTACTTGCTTGGAACTTTATCCAAGTACAAACCCCAGCAGCATTCATGAGGTCCAGATTCATCCCAGCGAGCTCTTAACTATTTAGCGTTAGGAGCACTGTCCCTCGTGGCTCCATCTGAAATCACTGGAAACAGGACACCTCCAGAGAGCAACTCAGCCCACCTAAAAGCTATCTTCCCAAAAAGTCAACGGAGCTTCGACAATTAAGTTTCTAGCTTCAACGCCTTCGCTGAGCATCTACACTTACATGGGGCAAGCCTGGGCTTAGCTTCCCAGCACTAACTGACAATATCATCTCCTTTCAGGTGTGTTTTGCTTTCAAGGAAGCAACAAGTAAAGAACAGCCCCGCACATTTTCATGCGACCTTCAGCAAGATAAATGCATCCTCTGTGTAAAAACACGAGCCTCGGTCCCCTGCAAAAGCAGGGTTTATAGGAGCAGTATGGTGCTGTTCGCATACAGGTCGATACTAAAAACCATCGGCAAAACAGACCTCGCAGCTATAGTTCCTCCCCTTTGAACACATCTCCGTAAGACCTTTTCAAGGCAAGCACTGACAGAGCGGTGGAAAAAGGATGATTTGCCTTATTTTTGAAAAAATAAACACCTTGTCATGTATTTCAGTCAGACTGGCCATACCTCTCTCCATCCTTAAACAAAGCTTTTCATTTACCAGCAAAAAGCAGTAAATGCCAACACAAGCCAGTGGTTATGAAAGATGGAGCAGACTCCATGGAGTAACACGATGCTGAGGTGTATGGTGGACTAAAACCACCCCCTGAAAGGGAATCATGAGTATCAGCATTTTCACAGCACACAGTATGTGCAGGCTTTTTTATTTGCTTGTTAGATCCTCTTTCCCTTTGCCTGTATCCCTGGGCAGGATGTTTTTCCTTCACTGGAGCTTCTCCAGTGGTGGGTTATGTCAAAAGAAGTGAGAAGTCCCAAAGAGGATGAAGCCCTTGAATTGCCAGCCGCCGAGCAGCATCACTTTGTCACCAACAGGACTGGGAAGAAGAACAAGCCCCAGCAGCATTTCGTTAAAGGCCCATCATATATTCCAAAAAAGCCAAACCTGCAAACTACAGGATCCCCAAATTTCTTCTCTCTTACTGCACAATTCCTTACGTGGCAGGCTCACGTGGGAGATAACATCATCAGTCCCCATGGATGGGGCTCCCATATCCACATCCAGCCGGCTGCACCCGGGGTTATGGATCAGGAGGGAGACTGCAGCCGGGGCCAGAGCTCCTAAATCTGCCCATTCAAGACTTGCGCTTCTGCCTCGCCAACTGAAGCACAACGCAGGGGAGCACGGCCGGTTCCTGATGCAGCTAGAGAGCATCCCTACCAAGGGAACCAGCCGCGCAGCACAGCCTTGCACCCACTGCAGTCTTTGCTGCGGTCCATCCACAGGGCGGGCTGCTTGGCCCACTGCTCCAGCCTGCTGCGCCCCATCCCAGGGGCACGATTTCTCAGCAGCTATGCAAGCAGCTTTGTCAGCTCCAGCCCTGAGGAGGTAACCCAGCAGGCAGCTGCTGGCGGGAGGCTGGGTTTGGGCCCTCCGGGGTGCTGCATGGCTCCCACCCGCCATCTCCCTCCAAGGAGGGAACCATCCCCTCTCCTCCAGCTCCCCAACACCTCTGCGGATCGCACACGCACGTTAGTTCATAGAGGAACAACGATAATTCCCCATGCCCAGAAGCAGGGGGTCTCCCGAGAGCATCCTCACCTTCCTCTTATCCCTTTCCTTTGGAGAGGCCACTCGCCCCCCAAACCATCCTGCCCGCTCCCAAAACACGACGCTAACACCAGCCCTCGTCCCTTCCCGGAGCAGATCAACCCTACCCCTCCATGCACATAAACCCCACCACCCCGCCGCCCCCCACGCACTGATCTCGCCCCGCAGGGAGTCGCTGCTCGCGGGGCTC